ATTGCGACCCTATAGAGCAACTAGTAAGCTTGAACCACCGACCTTGCAGTTCAAACAGCTTTACAGTCTGGCGCATTAACCCACAGCGCCAGTAAATAGTATGTATGAATTTATACTTTTATTATTAATAAACTAAGGTTCTAATTGAACCTTTGCCTAACAATGTTTGTATTTAATACCTGTACTTTTCCAAATTCTATTTAAAGATACTAGCACATCAGCTTTGTAAACATTCACAATTTTGTTACACTAGCTTGTGACATTTTATATGAGAGGAATGCTATAAAAATAAAAATTAAAAGTCCAGAATTGAAGGAACTCTTCCTACATCTCTAAGCTCTGTAGCCTTTATACATGTTCACAAAGAAAACCTTTCAATAGCTTTTCAAAATACAGGTGTGCAAATTACTCTTGAAATAGACAGGAGTCATGTTCTCAGTATCCCCTGAACCACGGTTAAACATACCCCGTAGCATTTTCAGCTCATAAAAGTTTTATGAGCTGAAAAGTTCCTTTAGATTTTTTTTAACTGCTAACTATGGTTTCCTTCTAGCAACAACACCCTAACTTGCTATTATGAACCACTTGAACAAATAAACATAAATGTGTCCTGAGTAGCATGTTTCATTTCATAGTTTAAAAAAAAAAAATCACGATTTATATGACTTGCCTAGTAAAACAATGCCTAGGTTTAGTGTAGCATGCATGGTGTTTTTGCTTACTTGGTACACAGTACATGGAGAAGGAAATTGTAAGCTTGTGAATGGATTTATGCAAGTTCATTACATATACCAAAGAATTTTCCAGTCTGGAAAAGTGAACCTTGATAAAAAAAAAAAAGTTGGTTTTCCACATACATATGCTTCTTCATTTTTTCTTATTAATTTATACACCTGCCTTAGAACTCATTAACTTTAGAGTTTTGGTTTGACAATGTTAAAAATGTTTTAAAAAGTAAATTTTTCACAGACGGTATAAATAAGCAGTTGGATCTGAATAAACCTCATTGTTTTATCACAATAAATGCCACTTTTAGTCTTAAGAAAGCCTCCAAAGGAGGTCGCAAAAATAGAGGTAGATGATAAACAGATAATAGATGCACACTTATATAGAGAGCTGAACAGACAAATCAGTAGATACATGTTCCATACAAAAAAAAAAACAAAACAACAACACACACACTGGAATCTTGTCTTGATGGAGGCAATCAGGTCTCCTTTTGCACAGAATTATCTAACTGTTATCAATGTTGTTTTTGTTGTTAAGTACTGTCAGTTGGTTCGGACACATAGCAACCTTGTGTACTTTCCAAGGAGCAGCTGGTGAGTTTGAACCGCCAACCCCGCAGTTCAAACTGACCTTGCAGATGAGTGTTTACCATACAGTGACACAATACTGAACAAAAAATAGTTTAATGACTGACTGTCATCCCATGTATTAAAACAGAGTAAGTAAGAGACCCCAATCATGTCTGCCAGTCCCAACTGAATTAAGTCCCTAACTCAAACACAAATGTACAACTTTGTATAAATTGCTACAAGGATTGAGTTGCTCAGACCTTCCATTTCAAGTAACTGTTCATAAACTTACATCATTTTTGTGAAGACTGTCAATTCTTCCAGAAAGATCAAGTTTCCATTTTTTTCCATTTTAGAATTTGATCACTCTAACCTCAACACACAGTTTCCCATTAAAAAGTTATAAAATGTAGGCTATTTTTATTGCTTTCTATATTATTATAACTCAACTTAAGGAAGACTGAAGAATTGATGTACTTGAATTATGGTACTGGTGAAGAATACTGAATATACCAAGTATGACTGGAAGAACGAACAAGTCTGCATTGGAAGAAGTACAGCCAGAAGGCTCCTTAGAACAGAAGCAAGAATGGTGAGACTTTGTCTCTTGTACTTTGGACATTTGATCAGGAAGAATCAGTCCCTGGAGAAGGACATCATGCTAGGTTTACTAAAGGGTCAGTGAAAAAGAAGACGACCCTCAAAATGATGGATTGATAAGAGTGGCTGCCACAATGGGCTCCACACAGCAATGACTTTGAGGATGACATAGGACCAGGCAGTATTTTGTTCCGTTGTATACAAGGTCACCGTGAGGCAGAACTGACTCAATGGTACCTAACAACACAGTATCTATACTAGCGAGAGAAATCTAAATTGAGGGAAACTTCTAATTCAAATGCTTGAAAAAATTCTCAAGTCAAAGTTTAGTATTTTGCTTTTTGCTTTCATTTCAAAGGTTAAGTATTTATCTTTTTTGCTTCTTATCTTTCTTTTCCATAGCATTATCTTCCTGTTCCTTTTTCCAAACCTACTAACAGAAATTCTTATTCTTATTTGCTTGGAAATTCTTCTCTTCTGACTTAAGTGAACAGAAGTAGAAAAGGAAAGTGGTTTCCAACAAACAGCATTATTATCAGAAAATAATGCTTCAGTCCGAGTCTCTTTAAAGTGTATTGGGAAGTGAGAATTAATTTGAATGCTCTGGGAATATATTCCATTCTCTACTATTCACTTCTCTGAGAGAGCTTTTAAATGATAAAATTCAGCATTAGTTGAAGCTTATGTTGTTAATTGTCATGGAGTGGGTTCCAACTCATGGCAACAATGCATAGAGTTTCCAAGGAGCGGCTGGTGGGTTTGTGGTTAGCAGTCCATCTACAGCACCACACAAGAAGCCTCTAGAAGCCATGAAGTTTCCACCTAGAAGCCAGCTGATTTGACAATAGAGCTACCGGATGCTTCCAAAATGTGCACTCCTGCACACTTTATTGAGGATAACATCAACCAGAGGAAAAATGAGAGCCTATAGAGTCCTGGTATGGTGCTGTGAGCTAATGCATCAGACTGCAAAGTCATTTGAACTGCAAGGTTGATGGTTCAAGCTCACCACTTGCTCCTCGGAAACCCTATACAGGATTGCTATGGGTTGGAATCGACTTGACGACATTTAACAACAAAGCGAACAACTCGACAGTAAGAGAGAACTTGGCTTCAAAGATTTTCTTCTAGTCAGGCATTTTCTTCAAGTTAGATTTAAAAAAAAAAATTCTCATATTATCCTAGAATGCAGCAACTTACAAAATTTGGTGATCTTGACTTCTAAATTAAAAAGAGATAAACAAGCCTGAATCAATTGGACTGTATATGCTCTGCATTCTCCACTGAGCTTACGAAAATGAAAAGATTGTGTGGTTTCACTTTGGGAGGGAATATGTCATATTTGGTAATGAGAATTGCAAATGTGAATCAGTGGAAAGAAACAGCTTTTAAGAATTCTGTCAGAAAGCTAAAATATTTGAGAATAGGCATCACAAATATTTCTAGAGACAAAACAAATCACAAAATAAACACTATGGCCTAGTTTGTAGGAAAGAAAGGTAATGCTAAAATAGCCAACTGCTGATATTTCAACTCTGAAATTATCACAGTGCCTAAACTGAACTAGTCTAGATTACATTTTTTTCTAAATAAAGCCCCATAAAGTAACAAACAAAAAGATTAACAGCTGTAAAAACACGTTGAATTTTCATTAAAATGACATTCAAACTATAACACCTATTATCCTCTCACAAGAGGTATAATCAGTCAACAAAATCCTGGAAGAGAAAAACAAAAGCAAATTTCAAGATGGCGCACTATGACCTCAGGGATATGCCATACCGTTTTAGCTGTCTGCATTGTAAGTGCTGAAGGTTAATAGTTAAAGACCAATGGAATGTTAACACAGTCTAGTGCTACATTTGAGTAGTAATGCATGGAAAGACACTGAAATTAAAACATTTGTTCTGCATGTTCTGAAGTGATGTAACAGTGATGATTTGGTTATATTAGATGACAAAGCAGGCCTTCTTATAACTTTCCAAATAAAACCATATCTAACATTCTTCCAAATTGTTTGACATATTCTTCCAATTCCTGTACAAATAGATAAAGCTAAAATACATTTTTTTTCACACTCCAGTTCTCTTCTAATAGCAGAATTTGATATGTTGACTTTTATTCCCCAATGTAACTTTCAAGATAAAATGCTGATTGTCTCGAATGGTATGTCTAGAAAGCAAAGACTTACCTGTCTTGTTTTCTCTGACCTCAATAATATAAACATTTATGTCAGGGTGGAATTTTGTCTCCAGCGTGGGTTCTGGAGTAGAAACTGCCTCAGGTCTGAGGGTCTCTTTGCCTTCCACGGTGGGTGGTCTTGTTGGCTGTGCAGAAGAAGTACTTGAAGTTGTGAAATATTCTCTGTCAATTTCGGCTTCTGTTTCCTTAGCTACAATATCATCCAAGGTAGTGGGAAGAACACGAGATGTTGATTCTCCAATGATTACCATGTCACTGGTTGTTTCCTCACCAGGTTCCCTGTCAATGAGAGGTGGTTTCTCAGTAGATGCTGAAGAGGGCATAGGTGTTGAAATTGTGTAAAATTTGTCTACTGAACTAAAGGTAGCAGTAATATCATTTGAAACTGTATATTTAATTGTTGAAAATTCTGAGTGTTCTGTAACTTTGGGCTTTTCAAGTAATCCCGAACCTAAATCAAAATAATCTGGAGATGTTTTCTCTCTTTTCTCAGTAGTGGTTTCTTCTATCAGCTTGGTAACATGGGTGCTGAAAGGGCTCAAAGGTGATTCAAATTCCCTTGGACTACTTTCTGTCTCATATTTGTATTCAGGCTTTGGGCTTAATACTTTTGTCCCCACACTTGGTATTAGTGTTCCCATTTCATCCATTTTGACTTTGTGCTCAGTTATAGGACCAGGTGGATATGACATACTGTGCTCAACTTTTCCAACTGAAGTTGTTTCTAAAATGGGAACTTTCTCAGAAGCTGTCACCAGTTTGTCTTCTGGGATTGGATACGCTGATCCATCACTGTCTTGTTCATCCAATGGTGCCTCTGTGGGTGTTTGAGCTATAGAACTGGGAGCCGGAACTGGTGGCTCTGCGGTCTGTTCTTTCCAATGAAGTTCTTGCTGAGTTGTTCCCTGTGGAATTTCTGTTGTTGGTCTTATGGTTTCAGGAGAAATAGTTGCTTCTAGGTGAGACTCATTAATGACACGTATGTCTTGAGAAGGCTCACCTAGTACTTCCCCTTCTGATGGAACAAAGGGTACCAAAACTCCCCATTCTTTCTTAGGAATTACAGAAAGAGGAATGGTGTGAGAATTATCTACATAAGTAGTAGGCTGTTGGGTGCTACTATAACTAACAAATGCCAATCCTTCCACATATGAAGTGAGTTCAAATTGGGGAACCGTAGGCATTGGCTTCGAGATGTCCATATCTGCTCCTTCGTCCAGAGTACTTCCTTCTGTGGTTGCAAAATCAACTTGTCCTTCAGTTCTTGAGATAGATGGAACTCTTTCTTCAAGAGTAGAGTCTCTCAAAGTTGACTTTTCTGTAATATTAACTGACGTTGTTGGTTGAAGTCTAACTGTGAATTTTCCATGGTTTGTTAAGTATTCCTCAGTTGTCTCCTCAAACGGCTTTTGAGTACTATCTACAATGACAGTAAATTCATCTTCATCATCAGTTAGTCTTGGGATTTCTTCATCCTTTCCATTCCCTCCTACTGTAGTAAGTACAGCAGGAGACAATTTCGGAGACCCTTCAGGATCTGTATACTCTGAAGGCTTTGATGTAGTGTTATCTTCATCCCATGACCATTTTGATACAGTGACTATCTCTTCACTTAAGGTACTTTGTGTCAAATGCACTGTTGTAACACCCTCACCATTCTTGGTTGTACCTTGATTACCATCCGTTTCGAATGCAAACACAGTTGTTACAAATTCATCTTCCATATCTTTTTCTTCTTTTGTCTGCATGCTTGGCTTCATGGTTGTCAGTGCTGGAGACCCCAAAAATTTGGTCATTTCTACAGAAGACCCCGTAGGATGAATTTTCTCAGAGGATGTTGTAGAAATCTTCATTCCAGAGAAGAATTCTTCCTCGATTTTTCTAATAAATGGATATTTGGTGATATTTGTTTGCATTTCATCATTGGTATAAGTATCTGTTCTGATTTCTGGCTTTTGTGTTTCTAATCTTTCGCTTCCTTGTGTCATTTCTGTTTGTGGAGAGGAATAAATAACTTCCTCTGTTAATCTTTTATCACCAGAAAAAGGAAACAATTCTACTTCTGTCTGATGCTGTGGTAGAAAAGGTGTGGTAGATACACGCTGGGCCCCCAAATCTTCAGTTATACCATTAGTAGTTTGTGTCTCTTTCCTGTTGTCCATGAATGATTCATCATTGTCAGCCACAGTAGCAGTGTGAACAGGGGAAGCCGAGATCGACTCTGATTCCTCTAGTTGAGTGTGAGTGGTGTCTTCTGAAGTCTTTGACACTGTAATAACTTCAGGTATTTGGATAGAGACCAAGGTGTTCTGATTAGGTGTAACTGTCATTATTCTGTCTTCATCATCATCATTTCCCAAAGTGAATTCATAGTGGTTTGTGGTCACTGATTCAGAAGTAATGCTTTCTGTTTTCTTTTCAGTTTTGGATTCCATGGTCATTCTCATGGATAGAAATGGTGTTTCAGTTACAGAGAATTCCTTGGAAGACGTGTGCTTTGAGTTAGCCACAGATGTTACCAAAGGACCCACTTCTATTTGCTCAACTTGTGTAATCAATTCTTCTGTTTGTGTATCTTCTGTGACACCATCCCATGAATCAGTAGCATGATAGATGACAGTTGTACTTTTGGCAACTTCTTCCTTACTTGTAGATATGTCTGGCTTCCCAAGAGGTCCTGAAGTAGAAGGCAAGTAATCCATATCCCATGGCTTCTTGATACCCCCCAAAGGTGTGGGTGATTCTGTGACAGTCTGAGATTGAACTGGGCCTTTCTGTTCAATATTGACTATGTATCCCACTGGAGGGAACTTTGTTGTCATGGCAGGTAACTCGCTGATTAAAGGCATGATAGCTGTTGTTCTGTCAGATACTATTTGTGGTTCCTTGGATAAACTGGGTGATGTAGTTTCTGCGAGGATATTCAATTCGATGGTTGTAGCCTCTGATATATTCTGTTTAGCTAGAAAAATAATTTCAAAGAGTTGATTAGACAAGCTACTAGTAAAAAGTTGCACCTCCAGTGTTTGTTAATTGTGTTTGTTGCTGTGTGCTTTGTGGCGGGGGGTGAGAGTGGGGGTTCCCAAATGTGTTCCGTGATGAAAAGGGGAGTCTAAAAACTAAAGAGTATCCAAAGGCAGACAATTGAACATTTAATTGTTATAAATGGATCAATTGTTCTTTTTACTGCTGCTTCTACCCAGAGGTGTGAATGGCTGGTCTTGTTTTTTTTTAAATATCACTGTATCATTAAAATATACGTATTGTAATGTAGAGTTTGGGTATAGCAGATGGATTTATTTAACCAGAACCCTAGTAGGGGAAGTTTGTGCTACTATTCTGGAAGCTTCTATAGCCTGTTTCTAGCTCTCTCCACACACTTTGTCCTTCTAAAGCTGCATATTGTCTCATGGGAGAGGGAGTGTCTCAGATTGTAACACAACAAAAAAGCCACATCAAATGCAACAGTGCTAGATACAAACCATTACATCGCCCATAATGTGAAAACTTTCAGAAAAAAACAGGATATTAAACTTTAATACCACTCTTCATCTGATTCCAGGTGTTTGACATTTGTCTTCATCTTACTGACAAATCTGTTGTGTGGCCTTGTTTTTTTACATTAGAAAATGTTTCTGGCAAAGACCGCTAGCCATTTGTTGTGGTTCTACCTTTTTTTCTATGTTCTACATACTACATTTATGACTCATAAGGGTCTCGGTTCTAGATTTTCTTTAGCATGAAGTACAAATGTAGACCACATATACCCTCATGATACATTTTAGGCCTGTAATTACAAATTACTAGAAACAACCAGAAGCATCAAAAAGAAAGGACTCAGGCAATATGTTATCACAAAATGTTACATCATAATGCCTCCATATCTACAAAGAATGGCCTGGCTGGTTTCAAGAAATTAAATTTTAGTATAAAAGTCAGTGTTATATATAAGATTCCTTCTTAACATAAGAAAAAATCAGCAACCTAGTACATTAAGTTAAAAAAAAAAAAAAAGACAGTACTTTTACTTTTGAAAATCAAATCCAATCTGCCAGTAAACTGAGAAAACAATTCCGAGGAAACCTGTAGCCATTGCTTTACTACAATGATGGGATTTAAAACTAGCTGTACTGAGGGAATGCCTATTCTCCCTAAGAAAAGTGGTGATAGCTATTGTATCTATATTATCTTGTGTCTCACTTTTAATAATCATTTGGAAAACAAAATTGGGCATTTTTAACTCAATCTGCTCTGTCAAAACTTAATGATAAAGTGATGTGATTTTTGTTGTAAATCAGATTGGCTGTAATAGGTTCCTTAGTTGTTATTGGTATGGACTATTATTAGCTGTGGTCATTCTCTGGACAATTTTAAAGTTCCAACTCATTATTTTTATAATGAAAACTTCATGGCCTTTTATATTATGGTAGTTTGAAATATTCTTAAGTCTTTCACTATTTATTTATATTTAAACAAAACAAAACATAAAAAGAGATTTGTTGTTGTTGTTAAGTGCCATCTACTAGGTTCCAACTCATAGAGTTTTAAAGGCTGTAAATCATTACAGGAGCAGAGAGCCTCATTTTTCTCCTATGGAGTAGCTGGTGGGCTTGAACCACCAACCTTGTGATTCGCAGACCAGTTATCCTAAAAAGCTACCACGCTCCTAAAATGAGATTTAGAGTTTTTGAAAACCATGAATGGTACCTTTTCCCTTTTAGAGAAAAGTTTGGGTTTTTGTCTGCCTTTAAATCTTGGCAGAAGCTTTGGTCTATTTTGATTGACATGAAAAAAGTTAAGGACCAAAAATGTGGCTATTTTTCTTTTATTTCAATTCTCTATCCTCTGAAATTCCACAATGGTTACCTCACTTAACTGCCAAATTTCATGTCTTATAACTGCATTCTTTGGGGAAATTGTAAATGATAGGTACAGAGAAAGTTTCCATGGAAGCATAACATAAACACTTAGCAAATAAATGTAAAAGAAATTTTAATCATATTATTATTGATAATAAAGAGAAAGTGAATTTTATGTTTTCCCTCTGAGTGTTTCTATAACTGATTAAATGAACTTTTAGGGAGATGATATGCTATTAGGGTCAAACAGAGATATGTGACTTAGATCTCCTTAATAGTCCAACTCAACTTCTGTACTAGCAAATCTCTCCAGTGCTGTGAAAATATCTTTATGGCACTTTTTAAAATTAGAGACTTGGGTTTTTAAAATAAATATTTCCATTTCATTGTCAATGATTATCTTCTAGTTTGTGTTATCTTCCTCTAGCCCACAACATAGTAAAATGATAATGCTGTTGTTGTTGTTGTTAAGTGTCATTAAGTTGGTTCTGACCCATAGCAACCCTGTAGAGGGTTAACAAAGAGCAGCTGGTGAGCTTACACCGCCAACCTTGCGGTTCAAGCCGAGTTTGCAGTTCAGCGCATTAACCCACAGCTCCACACCAGGACTCTAAAATGATAATAGTATGTCCTGTTCTATGCTAGGATTTATGTGACTCTAGTTTTAAAAATAAGACCTTTCAATAATTTGAAGCCCCTGTTAAAAAGTCTGCTTATAATTAACTTAATTAATTCTACTATTTGGAATGGAAAACCTCAGACTTCCGTTTGGGGTTGAGTGGCTTTTCCATCAGTTCAGCAGCTGATTCACTTAGTGAATCTGATTATTTGCAAAATTTGTTCCAGCCTTGGTGAAAAAAAAAAATTTTTTTACAAACACATCTACAAAACATCTACAAAGAGATGTCTTGAACATGAATATCACTATATTAATGTTGACAATTACAAAGGTGGAAACAGAACTCCAGATTGTCCACAAGATACATTCACATGGAGAAGCTTTTATCTTGGAAAATTACCAATGTCCTTTCAACTTCATTACTGAGAAAGCCAATAAAAATCAGCTTGCTTCATTCCCCCATGAAAGCTCCCTTCCAAATTTTGCAGCTGTCTGCCACACAGATGTTTTATATCACTATAGTTGTGGTATTTTATGTCCTATGGGCTATCTGTGTGCTTCTGTGATGAGACATAAGGAAGATTTTCCTTCTCACTTATAACACCCTATTAGCAGCATGATAGTCAATTAACTCATACCCATACTGCCTACATTAAAGCCAGATGAGTAATTTTAAATTTACTTTTTTACATTATGTTTGCTAGACATAAATATGCATACACTTGGGAAGTTATCAATAGAATGGGTATCCAATAGGTTAATCTGGACTCAGCTGAGGAAAGGGTGAAAGTTGGAACAATGAGCCTGGAGTTCAAATTATCTTTTTAAAATGTTATAAATAATTGAATGCTAACAGATCCAATTTCAATACACAGAAATCTTTTTGGAATACCAGTTCAAACAGGACTAGTTTTTGCATCTACAGTAAGATTAGGATCTAGGGCATAAAAAAAAAAGAAAACAAACTGACCACAGTTTAGAAGGGTCAGCCAATCTGAGAAATAAACCAATATATAAATAAGATAGTATATGAAATGCTGTTGTTGTTGTTGTTATGTGCCATGGAGTCGCTTCTGACTTACAGCGACCCTGATATACTGATATTTTTAAATGCCTGTATTTAATTACTTAAGTAAATATTTAAAATCATTTTTAGAACTGTAGCTAAAGTCATAATCCTCACATGTTTTATGCTACAGAATTTAGGGGGAAAAAAACAACCTACATTTATTTTTTTAATTATTTAAAACATAAGAGGGGACTTCAAAAAAGTTCCTGGAAGAATGCCATTCTCTTGTAACTCAATTTTTCCTTGAAAAATTTTAAACTTCCCTCATATATTAAAAGAAAATCTGAAAAATAAATTTGTAATTTTGGAGAAACTGGCATTATGTATTGTTTAAGAACTTCAATGATATATAAGCTCTCTTAACTTTTTATATACAGAATAAATGTTGAATATGATAGGGTCTTAGGTATGGAAAAACAGAGTCTAACTTATAACTTTTGTGGGGTGGGGAGAGAATCCATTATATGCCTATGTAGATTCAAGTGAATAAATGAGAAAAAAAAAAATTGAATCTAAACTTTCTATCTTTGTTTGGATTTTCCATTAGTTTTAGTTGTTGATTCTATTTGAATGCATGTAATTCACACATTTATGTGAATTCCTCATTTAAATAAATAATATAAAATCTATCAGGATGAATTTTGAAACAATACTTTTTTTTAAGGCTATAGACAGGCTTTGATTTAAATTTTAACGTCAGACCCAAAAAAAATTGCTTTAAAGCTTTTTTTTTAAAAAATATTGTTTAAATGTTTTCTAATGCACCCAAGCACTCCTGGTTTGGTGCTATGGGATCAGCCCTGGACTGCAAACCCCAAGGACGGTGGTTCAAACTCATCTGCTGCTCCTCGGAAACCCTACAGGGTCGCTATGAGTCAGAACCAACTCAACGGCACTTGACAACAACAACAATGCACCCAAACCCAAACTCACTGCACAAAGTTAATTCTGACTCATAGTGACCCTGGAGCTGTAGTAGCACAGTGGATTATGCACTGGGCTGCTAACCTCAAGGTCAGCAGTTTGAATCTACCAACCACTACTCAGGAGACAGATAAAGCTTTCTACTCCCTTAAAGATTTACAGTCTTAGAGGGACACTATGAAGTGGAACCGACTCAATGGCACACAACCAACACCACCACAGCTGTTGTTATTGTTAAGTGCCATCAAGTTGGTTCCAACTCATAGCCACCCAGTATACAGTTTCCAAGGAACAGCTGGTGAGTTTGAACCACCAGTCTTACAGTTCAAACGGACCCTGCAGTCCCACGCTTTTATTCCAGCGCCATACCAGAAGTTCACCACCACACCGTATGAGGCAGTTGTACTTTGTCTTATACCACCATCATAGTGACCCCATAAGACAGAATAGAACTGCCTACGGTTTCCAAAACTATAAATCTTTGAGGAAACAGACTTCCACCTGTTCTCCCTTGGAGCCGCTGGTTGAGTTCAAACTATCCACCTTTTGGTTAGTAGTCAAGTACTTTTAAACATTGTACCACCAGGGCTCCCTTATAAAGTACAAGAGCATATAATATTAGGCAAACCAGTCAAACTGAATAGCCCTAAGGAGCCCCAGTAGAATAGTAGGGCTGCTAATCGCGAGGTCAGCAGTTTGAACCTACCAGCCACTCAGGTGGAGAAGAACAAGGTTTTCTGCTCCAGTAAACATTTACAGGCTTGGAAACCCTGCGCTGGGTTGCTAGGAGTCAGAACCAACTCTAAGGCACACATCCACTTCTACCACCAATACCATATTCCTAATTTAATCTTTCCAACCCTGACCAGTCCACATAACAACTTTGTTCCAAGGCTCCCAACTGCTCATTCTGGTTCAACTCCCTACTAAGAATTTGCTTTTCCACCCCAGACATACTTAATCAGAATCGACATTTTAACAAGATCTCCAGGTACGTCTTGTATACCCCCAAGTGTTGCTAGTATACATAAGCATTACTTACAGGTTTTATTAAAAAGTAGATTCTGATTCAGTGTATCAGGGGGGGAAATGCAAATTCTCAGCAGAGAAAAAAAACCAGAATGAATTAGTTGGAAACCCTGTTTTTCTCCTTAATCATAATCACAATGTAAAATTGCTTCTAGAGCCTGAGCTACTTGAGATAACATGGCCTAAAGGAATGCATGGCTTTTTGCTTCTAGGGAGAAGGTTTTTTGTTGTTTGTTTATTTTCCTGAAAATTCTTAAGGGAGACTGGTGTTTCAGAGCTTGGGGGAAAAACTGCTAGTTTTTCAATGATCTCTAAAAGATTGACCAGCTTGTCTTGAGTTAAATACACAACAGGTGGTTTGAGCACTCAGAAAGTTAAGCCTAAAGGGAAAATCCAAGTTGGGGAATCTTAGCTCTTTTCCTTTTTTTTTCTCACTCTTGATATCACAGCTGTATCTTTTTGGTTGATAAGGAATGCCAGAGTATTTCCCTTTAGAAACCAATTACATAACAAAGTATTTTCTACTGATTTTATTTATATGACGAGGCTTCAAGAAGTTCATGGAAAAATTCCATTGTCTTTGAATTACATTTTTTCATGAACTTTTGAAACCCCTTCATATGTTGTCACTACAAGGTATCTTAAAAACCTCAAAACAATTTTTGCATGGCTCCATCTTCTAATTACCCAAGGCTACCAGAATTTCTGGGAGGTCTTTGTTTAACTAGCCCAATATTGACTCTACAGTAAATACAAGTGAGACTCTAAAATATTTGCTTGTTCAATTGAGCAGTCTATAATACTTTTCTCATGTGACTACTATAGTTGAAACAATATAGGTCATCTGAAAAATTAAAATAATCATAAGTGTTGGAAAATGTTACTTAAAAATAGTGTTAAGCAGTCAACCTAACTGAAGTTATTTTATGTTATATTCTACTTCATTATAATATTATAGAATTAGTCAATAATAGGCACATATTTCCATTACCTGAAATAAAATGAGGTAAGTGGAGATTTGTATTCTTAGCATAGTTCATTTTTAACTGTGAGTTGAATATGATGATTATCCATGTCAGCTCCAAGTACTCACCTGCTACTACTGACATTTAAATTCTCAGCCATTTCAAAGAAAGAGTGGTCTCATACTAGGACAAGATAAACACAATTCAAGGATTTAACTTAGCCACAGTCAGCTTCACTATTACAGCACCAACAATCTAATTGGCATTTAACGTGTGCAGTTGATATAAATTTACTGAGAAGTATGCACTATGATTCTACACACAACAGAGCACAATCAAGACCTTAACCTGGAATTTCTTCATCCCTCTAGGAATCAATTTGTCAAACTTGCTGTTCCATTAGCCATATCATTGCTGTTCAGTTTGCTCGCTTTTACAAGTCACTGAACTGTTTTCCATTCACATGCACACAGTACAAGACATGGACTCCATTCCCATGGCCAGCTGAACACCAATGCATGCCTTCAAAATAATGTTTTTAATCTGTAATCTTAAAAAAGTTATCAAACACTTACGTTTATAGCAGTAGGCATCAAATCTGCTATCAGGGGTAGGGAAGCCTGTCTGGTTCTCAAAACGATACAGGGTTCTCACCCCAAGTAAACCCCCTCCACACTGTGCCCTGGCCACAGTCACGGGGTGGCGCACACTGGCGTCTGAGAGCCAACCGTAATCACACTGGTCAAAGCCGTTCCTCCAAGCGGCGTGGAGTTCGCCCACTGTCGCCAGCCGGCCATCCTGCTCTTCTTCACACGCTTTTTCAGCTTCCTCAAAGGTAAATTTATTGGGATCAGTGACGTGGTACACAACACCTAGAAAAAAAAGAAAGCAAAAAACCTAAATTTCTACCATTCACCGCTTTCCTATTTTGATATTAAAAAAATAAAACTGTTGCCACGGAGGCCCTTCTGGTTCATAAGACCCTGTGTGTGTAAGAGTAGAACTATGCTCCTTACGGTTTTCGGTGACTGAGTTTCTTCCAAGGTGCCTCTGAGTGAACTCAAACCTCCAAACTTTTCAGATTGCAGATGAGCACATTAACCATTTACACCACCCTTAAATTTCAAACAGTGATAGTGATTAGAGGAAGCATGTAATCCTGTCTTCATGTTAAGGTAGAAGCTCCTGATACTATAAAGCGGAAAATATAATTTTGCTATAATTATTATTTTTGTAGAATAAGAAAGAGAGAGCCCTGGTAGTATAGTGGATTATGCATTGGACTGCTAACTGCAAGGTCCACAGTTCAAATCCACCAGTAGCTCCATGAGAAAAAGATGAGGTTTTCTGCTACCATAAAGAATTACAGTCTTGGAAACCTACTCAGGATCGTTACGAGTCGTAACCTACTTGATGGCATACATCCACCACCACCACCATAAGTAATAACATAATATGCATATGTTCCTACAGATGACATAAGCAGTTACTTGATGTTAAAACTATAAGAAATTCTTTAAAATGAACACACCTTTCCAAGTGAACCCTTGGACTTCTATTCAGGGAATAAATTTTCTCTTTAATGAACAAACCTGCGACGTATTTGTTTCCATTGCATGCTGGGAGAGGAAAGCTATTCTGAATTTCCACTGAAGTAATTTTCAATTTGTTTTTCCTAAAAATCGAGCATTACTATTCTGAACCCTTTCCTAATACATCACTACCATCAAAATGGATTTGTTCTTGTTGTCAGGTGCCATCGAGTCGGAACCGACTCATAGCGACCCCATGCACAGCAGAACGAAACAATGTCCGATCCTGGGCCAACCTCACTACCGCTGCCACACTTGAGTCCATCAATGATGCCACCTGGCTGATCCATCTCGTTGGGGGTCTTCCTCTTTTTCTCTGACCCTCCACCTTACCCAGCACGACATCCTTCTCCAACAATTGTTTCCTCCGGACAATATGTCCAAAGTAGGAGAGACGAAGCTTAGCCATCCTGGCCTCCAAGGAGCACTCTGGCTGCACCTCTTCCAAAACAGATCTATTGGTTCTTTTGGCAGTCCATGGCACTTTCAGTATTCTCCTCCAACACCACAACTCAAAGGCATCAATTCTTCTACGATCTTCCTTATTCACTGTCCAGCTTTCGCATCCATATGAGGCTATTGAAAACACAATGGCCTGGGTCAGGCACACCTTAGTCCTCAAGCTGACATCTCTGCTCTTCAATACTTTAAAAAGTTCCTGTGCAGCAGATTTGCCCAGTGCAATACTTCGTCTGATCTCTTGACTGCTACTTCCGTGAGTGTTGATAGTTGATCCAAGAAGAATGAAGTCCTTGACAACTTCAATCTTTTCTCCATTGATAAAAATGTTGTTTATTGGTCCATTGGTGAAGATTTTTGTTTTCTTGACATTGAGATGTAATCCATATCGAAGGCTGTGCTCTTTAATCTTCATCAAAATGGATTAACTTCTACCAAACCAATCAACAAAAGAAACCAACCAAGAGTTTGAAGATGGAAAGGGATAGAAACAGTACAGAATGCTATTTCCTGCCGTCCTTCAGGAGGGAAGGATTATCATAATGGTTATGGAGACGATGTCCTGCACAGTAGCACAAGGCCAAGGGATGCATGAGGCTTGACATCAGCTCCCACTTAGCCAGGCAAAGGAACCCCAGTCAACTAGAGGAAAGAGTGTCTTCTTTTCTACTATCTTTGCCCAAAGAGAATCTTTCAGAATCACCTCAAAGGAGGTAACTTTTTATAATTCTTACAAAGAGGCTGTCTAGCCAGGGCTCTAACTAGGTCCAGGTGACCTTTACTTTTGTTGGTTGACTAGTAAGTAAAAGCTGGGCATTTGTTTTGTTCATCACCAGACCCAATGAGCAAAGGGCATACTCATTATACTTCTGCATGTTACAATAAAATATCCTAGGAAACTCCATAGTTTAATGTAACCTAGGTAGCCAAATAACAATTTACTAAAATATCAGTTTAAATTAAATGATGCTTTTCACATATGAGCAAAAGTAGTTAAAAGACAGACACGGAATTAGAAAACATCTCCTTGAATGTAGCAAGTAGTGGTTATATATAAATTGAGCTAGAGAAGAAGCTAAAAAGTTGACAGTCCATTACTGAAGTGGAGTCCTGCGGGTTAATGCACTAGACTTCAAGTTCTCTTTGAACCACAAGGTCAGCAGTTCGAGCTCTCCAGCTGCTCCTAGAAAACCCTATACAGGATTTTAGAACTGACTCAACAGTACTTAACAACAACAACAATTACTGTAGCAGCTGCATGACCTGTCTCCATCTCATGGAGGCTGTTGTATGATTCTATGATATATCAGACAACTGGTACATGACAAGCAGTCTTAATTCGGATCTTCACCTGACTAATTCCAGATGTAACAAGCAATCATTCTAAACTAGTACAGCCATTTCTGAGTATGTGATAGATAGCTTTATAAAATGAGAAATATTAGTCATTGGAAAAACAGCCAAAGTACACATATCACCGTTTCTCACCATAAATCTAAAATTGCTACTGATGAAACTAGGTCAAATTCCCAATAAGAACTATTTGAAGAAGAGAAAGAAATATCACTTCTACTTAACTGAAGAAAGTAAGATAGAGGTGAGAACGGAATTTTGTCTTTAATTATCTAGTCTGGCAAAAAACAGTGATCTCAAAACCAAAAATATACTAAGAGCAAGTTAGTGGCCCTTTCCTATTTTGATAATGCTTTCCTGTGACTCAAGCTATGAATAAACATTTGCCATCAACTCAACTCTGACTTTGGTGACCCCATCCATGTCAAAATATGAGCAGGTCTCAACAAGTTTGTGGAGAAAGTCCATTAT